TGGCTGAACATCACAGTCCTTCAGGAAGCTTATGAGACCCTGCTAACAGCAGTGTACATAACAGTCTGATCTGTACGGTGTAAACACTGCACTACAATGTACAACAATTGTTTATTTTAGTGGAATTAATTTTAGATTGGTCCATTGCCAGGTCTATATTAGTACATACTGTATGTGACAAAATACACACTATATTCAAGTGCTACCTTTGGACTACATTGCTTAGGAACACAAACACAATATGCTCTTGAAATAACATTGGTCTTTTTGCAGCGCAACCTTGCTAATCACTTGAATAAACACATGATAAAGATCTAATTCAACAGTTTCAAAAGGGGCAATGGTGTAACTTAAGACTGCCACTCTCCTTGTTGAGTTTTACTCATCAAATGGCCACACAATTTTCAAACACTTAAATATAATAATTTTGCACAACTTACATATTGTTCTGGGAGACAAATCAGATGAGACCACATTGAATGGCGCTTAATTGAAGTGTAGGCCATTCTTTAAACAACATAAAGCGCTGTAGCCTACATATACCTGCATATCACAGACGTTTCCCCATTTCTCACTCAGTTGGTCATTTTAAAATATGTGCACATACAAGTTCGGGAATGGGTTGTATACTTGTTAAAGTAACATCAAATCTGGTTTACGGCGTTGCAAGGTGTAACACTGCAAGGGAGGCTTGCAAGAGAGATGGAAAGCTGCAGGTTACATTGCTTACTTGGGTGAAGTCAAACAGCTGTTGGAGGGTAATCAAGGTAAGCAAAACCCTTCGTCATGCTGTTCCTGTTGTCACATTCTGCCTGCATCTCTGGATCAGATAACAACCTCTAATAGTGCACAATGATCACAGCCATATAGAAAGCCAGCATATCTAGCCATGGATACAAACGCACTTACTTTACTGACATGTCAGGTGAAATATTTTTGATGCATCAAAATCTTTGCAGTCATTAATTACAGTCACGTCACAAAGTGCTCAGACCTCTTCACTTTTTGCACACTTTGTGCTGTACATTTAAATTTAAATTGGTGGACTCACCACTTTTGCCCATCAGTCTACATTCAGTACCCCATAATGCATTTTGCAAATCTATTAAAAATAAATGGTTGAATTCTGAATTTTTACAGAAGTATTCAGATCCATTGCTGTGGCGCTTTAATTTTCCTTGTGATGTATTTAGAAGACAAACTGAATCAATTGGACATACAAGGGTTTAGAAAGGCACACACCTGAGTACAGGAGATCCCACAGTTCACACTGCATGTCAGGACAAAAACCAAGCCAGGACCAAAAAAGTCTCTGTAGAACTCAGACATAGAATTGTGGCGAGACAAAGATCGAGGCAAGGATATAAAATCACTTCTAAAGCTTTGAGTGTTCCCAGGAGCACAGTGGGCTCAATCAAATCAAATCCAGTTTATTTATAGAATACATTTAAAAACAACTACAGTTGACCAAAGTGCCTTTCAAATTTCAGTAACTGTTAAGTGGAATAAGTTAAGAACCACCTGGATGCTTCCTAGAGTTATTTGGCTGGCCAAAAAGGAGCTTGGTCCAGGAGGTCACCAAGAACCCAGTGGTCACACTATCAGAGCTTCAGAAGTCCTCAACAGAGATGGGAGAACCTGTTGGAAGGACAACCAGCTCCGCAGCACTCCATCAATCGGCCCAGTTTCTAGACAGATGCCACTTTGATTGAAAGGCAAATGACAACCTGCTTAAAGTTTGCTAAACAGCCTTTAAATGGCTCAGAAAACATGAGGGAAAAGATTCTCTAGTCTGATGAGACTCTCTGAGCAAAACTCCATTAGGCATCACCTGGCTAGTAACATCACAACAGTGAAGCATGTTATACAGCCAAGGCAAAACTAGAGTTGCTTCTACAAACATGTTTTCTCTTTGTTATTATGGGTAAATGGCTGTAGACTGATAGACAAGAAAGGAAAGTTTATCCATTTATAATTGAATCTGCAACACAATAAAGTGCTGTAATAAGTGAACACTTTCTGAAGCCACTGTACTTACTGATTAATTAGTAACATCAGTATTAATGGCTGAAGGTTCAAATGTCAGTTTATGAGAACATGTCAAATAAAGAAATATGAAGTTGTGGACTTCCACCCTACACAGTTTCCATGCCAAAATGCTAACTTCATAATGAGTAAACAATGTATAAGGTCACCAGATCAAAAAAGGTCACTGTGAAGCAACTTCATAATAAAAACATTTAAAAAAACAAGGTTACTGCAGGTCTGTGTTAAACCTGTGGGTTTCTTGTGCATGCTGCCCACAGTGTGAGATCGAGTTAACACAGGAAGCTGAGGCATACTAGCCATCTACAAAGGGCTAAGTTATTTTTTGTCTGACTACAGCACAAGCTTTTTAAACTCTGAAGTTTAATGGTGGCTGCTATTGACACACCTACACTATCCTACACTAGTATCATGTCATGCTGTTACACACAGAGCTGGTTTCAGACTTGCAGGACCAGGATGTGGTGAGAGTGGCAAAACACCGGTGCAGCATCAGCAAAAGTCCTTCACTCACTAAATTTCTCTGTCTCTCAAAGAGGACACCCTTACAGTCACTTTAAAGCATTACACAGTAAACTGAATTTGAAGTTGCTGGTAGACGGCAACTAAAATGGAGCCAAAATCAATCTAAAATTAAACTTGTATTCCCTCAACTGTGATGAGGAGATATAAGAACTATGAGCAAAGCTGAAACCTCGCACAACTTCTACAATTGTTCAAACGTTCCACACAATGTTGCTATGACAATTTAATTATAGTCTATCATGGTTGCACCATTGTTTGTTTGTCTCTCTAAGATAGTGGGAAGATAATGTGTGAATGTGAAGTGGTGCTTTTTGGCAAAGTACGTAATGTTGGGCTGGAGAAGAAACAGCTCTAGTTTGTGGTGACTGTGGAGGATTTAGAGCATGGCCAAAGCCTGTCTGTTATGACTCACTGCATTAACCCTCTCAGCTCAGAAGCATGTACAATGGCAGTGAGACAAATGGTAAAGATATGAGATAAGATGTGTTTAAGGCTTTTGCTACGTGGTATTCACACATAATCAATCCACTCAGGCCTAGTACAACAATAAGAGTCCATACAGCACAGTTTTAGTAGTCAAGAAGCATCTAATGTCATGCTTCCAATGTCATTCTTTGTCTTGACTTTACTGACATGCGCATGACATTAGATGCTTCTTAATGTCATGCGCATGTCAGTAAAGTCAAGACAAAGAAAGGGAAATTCATCAGATTCAGAGAGAAGTGATTCATTCCTCATATGGTTATATGAAACTGCTCCTTTAAAAAAAATAAAATAATTCACCACAGCCAGTAGTACACATCTACATCACAACAACTTCCTCAACAGAGACGTTAAGACTCCGCACAGTACTGAAAGCACCGACTGAGCAGAATATCTATGTTCCATTCGACCCAACCTTGTTCTGTAGCTGTGCCCCAGGAAGCAGGAGTCCGGATATGAGTCTGACCCTGGGTGATGCACGTGGGGAAGTCAGTTATTACAGCACAGGCCAGTGGTTTATGAGTTTGGTTTGAAATCCAATATCAGAACTACATCCAAGGACAGCTTTTAGTCTACTCTGGTCAGCTCAGCAGCTGTACAAGTGAACCGTCCACATAACACCTGTTTAACATCAAAAATGAGCGGGCAAAACAGGACAGTTGGCAGGGATAAAACAATATGAAGTGAAAATATTTTTACATGATATTTGACTTATTGGTGACACTTAATATTGACATGAAAGACAGATTACTGTATTTCCTATATTCATGAAAGTAGAACATGGTGGTGTTCTTCAGTGCAGGGCTAGTCTGACCACTTCGTCCTGAACACCACTGCTGGAATGTTTGACCACTGCAAACAGCACAACAGTTTATGCAGCTTGCTGACTCAAGCGCTATCTTTCTAAAACAATCTCTGCGGGGTCACAAAAGAAAAGCCTTCATAGGTAAACGTATGGTCAGGCTTAATAACAGAATAGTGCGGACTGCGAAAACCAGTCAAATAAATAAGGAATGCATAAGACTAATACAGATCTTGAAGCAGCTAACATCCCTGACACTTGAATTTTACAGTGAACTCAAAGTCTGGCCTTAGGATCCTGACAGAGTAGACACGTAACCCCACAGACATAATAATTGCTCTTATTGTGCAAGACTCAGTCATGCAGTCTGGTTCTGTGACGCTCACAGTCTCACTTAAGTGCATTCAGTAAACACAGCTGCCTATGTTACATGAATCCTGGCTGTACAAGCTTGTAATTACTGTAATTACATAGAAGTCAATTTTGCAAACACATTAAAAGAAAGCACTAAAAAGACAAACATTTATCAAGGTGGAAAGCAACTATTATTTAATCGAGCAATGAATTGTTCTGTCTCTAAAATATAACACTTCACATGTCATGCTTTGCCTATCCAACAGCCATGACCCAAATATATGAAACTTACAGATATAAAACAGAAAAGCAGCAAATCCGCACTTTTGAGACACTAAAAACCAGGAATATTTGGTATTCTTGCTGACAAACAACTTGAATGAATAACCTTTATTTAGAATTGATGCTAGTTAATTTCACAACTGACAGTACTGACAGATGTAACAGTCACCAAAAATGAATATGCTCTGTTTAGGACTGTAACTAACAAACATGTTTAATTAGCTGTTAAAATAATTAATTTCTTGATTAAGAAATAATCTTTTGGGCTATAAAATGCAAAAAAAAAAAAAAGAGCAAAACAAGTCAGAGTGAAGAGGCAGTAAGTAGGAGTTTTATGCATTTTTTTTTTACTTAAACACTGTTTGATTTATGGACTAATTGTTTCAGCTATAACTCTGTTAATTAATCCTGCTGTTCATACCTTTAGAACATTTTTGGTGTGCTTGTCTAGACCATTCAGATTAGAGAAAGGCTGTACATTATTAATGGAAATAGTTACATCACCTACCCTCATTTTCAGATGTTGGACATCCCACCTGTACAACCAGATCAAATGTCCTTTCTGGATTTTCCCTGCAAAAAAATGATAATGTTTATAATGGGAGAAGGTGAGGCAGAGGATTGGGAAATCTGGTTTTACGCAAATGTACTGTCAACAAGTGTGTATTCAGATTTGGGTCACAGGACCTGCTGGGTCGTTGTCGTGTCCATATGTATCTAAATCAGTCTGCTAAGCTGCTAATTGGTGGCCTGCTAGTAGTAGACAGGGCAACAGACTGACCCAAATGCTGGCTGGCCAGCTGGCCTGGCTGGTAAAGCCACTGCTGGATATGATGGCTCAAATAAGCAGCCGGCTTCGACTTCACGTTACGTGCCTGGGCCACGCATTAGCTGTTAGCTCGACAATTCTGCATCGAGAAGCGACAGAGGGAGAGAAAACACACAAATCTCAGAGGTCTTACTTTATTCTGCTGTCCATGGTTTAGCTACAACATCGCGACAGCTCCCTGCTGTTGCGTCCGCTCTGCTGGCTGTCCGTAAATATCCACCTTGTCTTTCCTCAGTCTCAGCCGTCACTGCTGCTGCCTTATCTGACACCGGTCGAAAGCTGCCGCGACAACATGCTTGGAGGTAGGATAGTGTGGCAGTCTGTACCGTCCTCCTGCCGTTAACGTGGCCTCAATCCTCCCCGGTACAGCACCACGGCAGTTATTTCCCACAACAAACACCACTCCAGGAAGTGCTGCCAAAGATATAGTGACGTCAGCGCGTCAGATGAGCACCGTTGCTTACTTAAGATGAGTAGCATGTATGATAAACACGGGGGACCTGAGCCATGATTGATTTTCTGATTGAAAAAAGAGCAAGAACGAGACTGTATTATCAGCTCAATCACTGTGGCAGTAGCAGCTTTTAACAGTGGCTTCCAAAGTATGTGTGTGGGGGTCACACGCTCTCAGGCAACAGGGGTCCTTGTCAGGGCATCAACAGTGGCCTCAAGCCTCTGGTCAGTAGATTCAGCTGTGGTGCATACCAGAAGACTGATGAAGGCTGGGATGATTCTTTGACTTTCCACTGCATAATGACAGTGTGCCATGAAGCTATGCTACTTACAGGCTTGTCCATGCATAAAATAAATGCTGAAGTTGCAATGTATAACTCAGTTATCTAAGTGTTTAAATAATGAAAAACTGTCATACACACAAACCATATAGAGAAAGCCTACTGAATATGACTCCACATTAAACATATTTTTCATGAATCAGCTTAGTCACTGGCCTATTAAAGGATAAATCCACCCTTAAAATATACACTTTGTTATTTTCTGTAATATGGTATAGCTCCACATTTTATGGACACATGTTCTGATTCACAGATATAAATGTGCAATATGGTGCAATATTTCAAATAAAAACTTTAAGCCCACAGAGTCAGTAACTAATTTGTCTGTGGACCAACTCCCTAAAGTGACACCCAGTGACATAATCAATTAATATTTAGATGTGTTGATTTCCACCTTAATTGAGATTTTTGTCTTTTTAATAATGTTGACTTTACTGTTCAAAATCACTGACATTCAGTGTAATGTAAATTCTGTTTTAGGGTGGACTTTCCTTTTATGGTTTGCACTCATGTTTAAGCAATATTTGTCCCATGGTAAATTGAAACCAATTGCTTAGATGTACTTCTCTCTCCTCTCCAGAGAGCCTGTCTGGATCAGAGCCAGATTTCTTCAGGCTGACTAGAAGGTAATTAAGTGGCAGCAGACTGGGCCATGCTGCTTCAGGCATCCATATGATATGATAATGGCAGGGCTGCTGCCTTAATATTAAAAAATGACAAAAAAAGGACACATTCACACAAAGAGACACATTCATAAAGCTTTCATGAGTCTTGCATACTGGGAAAAAGTGAGTTACCATTTCAAGAACTTGTAAGCTTTCCCAGATAAAATTAATTTAAAATCCTTTTATGCATGAATTACAAAAGCCACAGTCCAGATTTTTTTCCTTGAACTGAACTGAACTTCATTTTTTAACATGCATCTGTCCAATTTAGTGGACAGATGATGAACTGTAATTCCCCCACAAGATAAAATCAATACTTTGAAAATTTAACAACAGTATTTCTTTAGGTGTTACTTGACATTACCACTTTTCAACCCCCAAGGGTCTACTCCTATATAAGGACTGGCAAGACAAGCCTAAGGTACTCAGCCTTTTTGTCAGCCATCTTGGTTTTGAAACATTACTGTTGCACTTAATAATGGCTGACCAGTGGGTGGCAGAATATGAGATGACAAAACAGCATCCACTATAGTGGGTGACATGCAACTATACAACCAGATCCCATGCACATACTAGAAAACAGCTTTTAAATAGCTGTCCACTTGTAATGACCACTATGCATGAAAGGGTTAATAAAACCCAAAACTGAAAAATGACAACACTGTGTCCCACTGTACTTCTAAGGCTTGAAAAATATTATTTTAAAATGACTTTAAACATTTGACCTAGCTGAGGTGCAAAGGATGTATCTTGTTAAACTGAAATATCACACATAAGAAAATACACAACAAGTGCTCATGTTGGGAAAATGCAGCCTAACACACACTCATGCATTGTATTCTGGAGTCTGTTGCAATATAAAATGTTATAAAACATCAGTTTTGTCTTACTTTTATCAGATTGTTTTTGCAGTGTAAGATGAGCACTCAGGTTGCAAATGTCATGGTTGTAAAAGCATATACATCTACTGCTTTTTATGGCCACTGTGCTTCTCATAGCAGGTCTGCATATATATTTTTATGATGCGTAATTTGTCTGTGGGTAAAATGACCCCAGAGTGTCAGTCAAAAGACACTTGTCAGGTTTCATTACCCAGATTCTGGTGTAGACACATCATCAGAAGTGGCTCACAGCAGTGGATAACCTTGAAGGGGCTCATTAATGTCCACTCATCAACCTTCCACTGCTTTGTCCAAGTCCCCATACTACTTTCATACAATGGCAAGGTCTTTTTGTTTGCAAGGAGCCAAGGAGAGAAAAACTAGGCATTGACTTTATACAATGGGGTCAGTGGATGGCTGCTTTACCACCTATACACTTACAGAATAGTATGACTGATAAAATATTAGATACATCATGTTAAAGGGTCACAGAACATCATTTCTTTTGTGGTAGAAAGTAGTGGTATTGAACACCTGCCATACTTTCAGGATTACTTTAATGTCATTGCGTTAGAAAGACAACGAGACATTGGTGCTCCCATAGCAGCCTTAACCCTCATAATAAAAAGTGAAAGGCAAGCACTACCTATATCTATCTGTTTATTTATCTATATGTATCTATCTATCGATAGATAGATAGATTGCTTTTGGTCTTTTTGCCAGTTGCCATAGTAGTGCAGTATTCCCAAAATCTCAGACACGGAGACAACTCAAAACTGGACAATAAATATCATACTGCTAGGTAATTACAGATATATGCTTTTTTGAAATTTGGGTGAGCTGGTCCTTCAATTATAATAACGTACTATGCAGTTGTAACATTTATTTGAAAAATAATGCATCAAGCAATGGATTTCTAAAAGTTCTGGGGTTTTGTTTATGTTGCTGTTCAACAGTAGTGACAATTTATTTAATTCTGGCTTTATAACATGTGATGATGCGCTGATAGTTGGTTAATAAATTGTAATGTTCTCCGTAATTTTCTGGGGTTTATTGTGTGATGTTTGCTGTGTATCCTTCAGTAAAGTGTGGTGTAGTTCTCCTTATACCACCATGGGGACTCCCTGGTGAGTTAATAACAGCTTTGAAACACTAGGGGCGCTGTGGGAATCTGTCTTACCAGCCGGTCACACGTGACTAGCATGAGGCGGTCAAGATGAGGAAGTACAACATGTTTCTGTATTGGCAGACCTGAGGAGAGAAGGAAGAGTAAACATGTAACACATTCAATGTTTGATAAGAATAAATCAGTCGTTACTGTATTTAAATGAGAGATGGTTTGTTTTCCCAGAATCATACACTTTATTTGCACAGAACTGCAAGTCGAGGAGCAATGTCAGCGTAGTTCTCTGGTGTAGCAACTTTTACTCTATGTATTAAACTGGAGAATTGGCTTTGTAGTAGCATGTTTTACCTTAGGACATCGTTTGTGAGTAGACTGGGTTTTCTCCGTGTCCATTTCAATAAACGACTTATAACAATGTCAATACCGAGCCTCTCAAAAGGAAACTCGGAGCGGCTGAGAAGCAGCAGCATGTCACAGATCAATGCAGACAGCGGTGAAGCTCACTTCACTGACGTGGTGACAAGCAGCACGGGACGTGAAAACGACCACGCTGCGAGAGAGCTCACGGAGGAAGACATGGTCGTTCACAGAATCCATACAAAGGCATGCGAGGTAAGATGTATCACCTCAAGACCGCAAATCCGATGATGCCATGTTCTTCAGTCAGATCGCCACGATCAGACATGATTAATTAGAAACAGCCTATCCCACATGTTTGAATTGCTGTCATTCTGGATATTATTTAAATAAAAGCACAGTATTATCAGAAAACGTATACAAGAAGTACAAATATTCCTACAAAGTTACATCTTTCAGTGTTGTATATTACTCTGGACCAGTACAGGTTAACATGTATGTTTTAATGGTGTAGCATGACATGTGTTTCTGTTGAGCTTGTTTATGTTGTAATGTACCTAGTTTACTTACTACTGGGTAGTATAATCTCTAAGGATTGGACATATTTTACAAGATGATTATATTCTTTGCAAGTAAAATCTGATTCTTGAAGTAATTTTAGATATCAGATTGTATGCGAGTTAAACGTATTTCTCTGAAATGCGTAGACAAAACAGTTTCAAAGCTGTACTTTACTACAGTAAATGTACTTAGTTTTGAATTGTTTACATTAGACTACAGCTGAACCTAGTTAAACCATACTGTATGAGCAAAATAATCTGTCATTAGTGAATAAAATTACAAAAAACTGTAGTGCTGCAATGAAAATCTAATACCACTGCCTGAATCCATTTGTCAGAACATATTCAACATATGTGAGGGCAATGGGTATTTGAGGTATATATCAGTGCTTATATATATTTTTTTTTCAACCATATTGATAAGGATCTCAGTACAACACAAGGTAACAGCCTTAGACATACTGTACCAATTCCTAATTTTGTCAGGTTTTAAAAAGTAAGCAGCATCAGGCCTGGTTAGTACTTGGATGGGAGACCATATAAGATGGCTACACCCGGTCACTGCGCTTTCACGTGCCCATGCTCTCTTTGTGCCAGTTTAAGTCCTGATAAAATGGGAGGGTTGTGTCAGGAAGGGCATCCTGTGTAAAACCTGTGCCCAATCATATTTGTGAATTTTTAAGATCTGCTGGCAATCCCCAAAAAACTGGGGAGCAGCTGAGAGAGGAACAACAACATGCCTAGCATAAGGGTTTAAAGAAAACACCATATTTAACATTTAGTACTAAGTGACCTGCTCCTGGAGAAAATAAACCCAAATGTCAATTGCAAAAGAGGCCAAATGTTATAAATACAAATAATATTGGAGCAAAACCAGCATTGTTTATTAAAGCTGATACTGTACCAGCAGAAGTGTCAGAGTATGATAATATGCCAGCTGCGATGCATCTCTAGAGCCCCCCTGTCCCCAGAGCAGGCTTCCCCGTGGGTCCTTGTCAACATTTTGCTGTAATTTTAATTACTAAAAGTGGTAATAATTGTTGATACAAGGCTTAACTCTTTTCCTTCCCACCTCCCTAGGTATTACATTTCCTGAATCATATGCCAAAGAGGTTGTGGATAGATAAGTGTTGTAAAAGCCTGTCAAACAGTTGCCTCGAGATATTTTAAAACATTTACAGTTTTTCTGTTTTGTACAGTTTTACCTAGAAGCAAATCCAGTATATTCAGTGTTTTATACACAGTACATGTCATGTAAGTAATGATGATCATTGTTTCTGTCAGATCCATCATATTCACCAGATCTTACTTGCTCTTCCATCAAACAGAGCCAGTGAGTTCTGTGCTGATGACAGCAGTGAATAAGTGTCATCTGCACGCCTTTAGGCTGAGCTGTTGTAAATATTGTGCTTCTGAGTGTGGGTGAAGTTGAGATAAGTTGGCCGCAACCTGAGGAGAGTGGTAGGACCTGGGTGGGGAAAGCACAGTACAGTAGGGGCCCAGCTATGCCAGCTTCACTATGCGACCCTGCAATGCCATGTAAAATGACAGGCCATGTCACCAAAAGGCCTGGGGCCTTTTTCCCTTTGTCCCTGTCAAGGCTCACCAGCTAGTGCACTCTCAGTTTGAAACAGACTGAGAGATGACATTTTCTAACTTCCTAAGGGATGGCAGAGGAATTCGGTGTTTTTCACTTGCAGAAGGTGCTTGTGTCATTGGTCCAAATAAAAGAATAGTTGAATGTTTTTAAGCATTATTTAAATCAGCATTGAATAAAAATAAGCAGTGCTACCATTGCAAATAATCACTGACTGAATTGCACACAAAAGGACAGCACTAATAACATCATAAGAATTAGACCATCTTACATCTGTTTCTATGCATGAAGGTCTTCCATTCTCTCTTGTCCGTGACCCTAAGCAATCTGTCTCTCTGTGTACATTCATAATCAGCATTATACTTGCCTTTGTGTTTGGTTGTGTATATGTATTGTATATAGTTAAGTATGCAGGTGTGTGACCCTTTCATATCTTCAATATGTTCAGGCAAAGAAGCAGATGTATATCGACCCTTCCAGTGGGTACAAGGTGTTCACAGAGTATGCCCACCTTCAGAGAGGCAAATGCTGTGGCAGTGCATGCAGACACGTAAGCTCTTTGTGTTCTGATTTACCGGGCTGTGCCTTCCTCCACTTCGCTTTAGTTGATTTTCTGCGCTATTTTTCTCTTCATCTGTCCTCGGCTGTTGGGTTCAGCTGTTATAATCCCATCCTCTTTGGTTCTTTTCACTTCTAAGCCCTAACTCTGTTTTCTGAAAGTGTTTCAACAGATGCTCTTAATAATTTATGCCCAAAACATCACAAAAAAGGAAGTTTATGTGGCTCCCTGTTAAGAGCATCTTATGGTAACATCAGCTGTCCATGGTGCTGAACAGGATGATGACGTAATTTAATTAAGGAGCAGGGAAGATTTCACTGTGCTGTATATTTTTCACTTCCTAAATAACACAGTCACTTCAGTTAGTATGACTTGGTACCTTAATATTCAGTCTACACTCTGAGCTGAACTACATTCTTTTTAAGTCTATTTTAGCTTTTAAACTATTTTCATTGTGCATCATTGCATAACATTTCAACTAGAAGTGTTCTGTAACTCTGCCTGACAAAATTAACTATCAAGCTATGAACTATTATTATTAAAGGCATTTTAGTTCATCAGCCTGTGTCAACAAGGAACAGTGCAAATATGTGAATCCTGCACAGTTTACAAGTGTGCTCATGCTGAATGTGACAAAATCTTAAAGTTGTAGCCCAGTAAATGAGCTGTTCTTATTATTCTTACTACCGTGACACAAAATCTACTGAGCACTAGTGTTGCTTTCGTCAACGAAAATTATGACTAAATATCGTCGCCAACGAACGTTTATCGCGTGACGAAAACGAGACGACATGCAACGAAAATGCTGGTCGTGTGACGATGACTATAATTAAATATATAATGCAATATTGTTGATGAAAAAAACGAGACTAATTGTGGTTCACAAAATAAAAACTGCCAAAATGTCTCTTCATTTTCGTTGACTAAAACGAAATGAAATGTTATGTTATTTTGTCTCGTTCAGTCGCGTTATTATTATTATTTTGCAGTATTTCTGTTTCCTGTGTCTTGCTTCAGGGGCTGCATCAGGTTGCACTGCGCAGACGCAGGCAATGCCACTTCCTTAAGCCCCACTTGCGACATTATTTAGAAGACGACAACAAACAAAGTTAAGTCTGTCTGACACAGACAGAGAAAGGGGCTGATGGCCGGCCAGCCAGGGTCTGTTGGGAGAAAAAGGAGAAACGACATTTGGAAAAACTTTAATTACATAGAAGTGGAAATTTTCATTGACTAAAACTAGACTAAAATGTCATCAGTTTTCGTCGACTAAAACTAGACTAGACTAAAAAGAGTATGAATGTGACTAAAACTAATAAAAACTAAAATGACAGCTTCACACAAAGACTAGACTAAAACTAAAATGAAAACAGGCTGCCAAAAACAACTATACTGAGCACCTGCCCCCCAAAAATGTCTGTGCACAGCCCATAATGCGCGCATGTTACTCAGTGGAAGTCACTGTAAGTAAGTAAGAGTTTTGGGAAAGATTTACTGATTGAATCGCTTGATTGATGGCCACACACATATATTGGTCAGTATAGTTTTAAAAGAAGTATAGGCAAAAATGCAGCAAAGTATACTGTGGGACTACATCCTCAGTAAAATACAGGGGAGGACTGTGCTGTATATCACCGCTGCCTTGGCGTTGACACATGAGAGAAGAAAAAGCACAAGGATAGTGACAGAGCAGCAGATGTAAACCAGACGAGAGCTGCACAAAGCATGGCCTGCTTGGTGCATGTTACTGTTTTATTGAAGTTTTCTTTAACAACAAAATCTTTGTGGTTCTGCTTTTGCAGATGTTACTTTACCTATGAAAGGCTAAAATGTGCATTTGTTTAGCACTGGGGTTGGGTCTATTTTATAAGCATCATTACTGGTTTCAAGTTTAATGGTTATTATATTGACTTAAACATCAATTGGAAAAAGCCTTAAATTAAATCATATAATCCTACAAGTGTTTGGACAAGTTGGTAGGAATCAATCTGTAGTTTTGTAGTTGTGTTTGGTTGTGTCCTGGTCTCCTGTGTTTTAAGCTTTGCTCCTCTGGGATGCTCTGCTCTTGGGCATATGTTCATGTCTTGTTCTTTGTGTGACTGAAGCTCTAGCTTAACGCAGCATTTCTTTTTTCTTTCCCCCCACTAGTGTCCGTATGGCCAAGTCAACGTGAAGGACCCTGCAATGAAGAAGCAGTTTAATTCTTTATTTTTTGTGTAGGCCTAACTGAGCCATACCAAAGGTAAAATGTAAGGCCCTGTTTAGGATGGAACCCGCAGCACGTTGCTTGTCTTCTGCCTGTCGTTATTTGGACTACTCAAGAGTCATTTTTAGCTGTGTACTAAATGATGAAATATGGGTAATGTCTGTGCAATACTTACCTCCTATGAATAACAACTATTCTGAGGATTATTTAATTTTATTATTCTCACATGGGTGGAGGTTTGTTCACTAGAACCTCATGTAAAATAATCTTTTATCACATTTTTGTATTATATTTTTTTAGGCATATTTCTCAAATGTTCAGTGAAATGCCTTGAGCTTCATTTTTCATTTCTCCTTGCAAGTATTTAATATTTTGTGGTATTCCCTGCTCTGATGCATTTACAAGGGTTGTGGGAGTATGGAGATGAAAACTGAAAGAGTATTTTAGATCTTCGCCCTCAAGATGAAGGGCATATAAGCGAAAGTAACTGCGGATAGTCAGATGCAATCTTGTGCTCTTTTGGTTTTGCATCTCTTTTTTTTTCCTCCCAAATGTATGACTGCATGAATATTAGCATCATTTACACCCCACAAGTGCTCAACTGAGCTGTCTACCTTTGACTAAAATACTGTGCTGTTAAAAATAGGCAGGGGGCGAGGGTCAGCCCTCACACTTGGCTGCTCTGCTTATACACCACTTGATGGAATCAGGCTGTTAACAAACATGCCGTGGACATCAACAGCAGCCCTCCCACCAGACTCGCAGCTCAGCCTCCTGGCAGCGGTGGACTACAGCACAGCTCCCCGCGGCTGCTCTCCCGAGCTGCAGCCTAATGAACTCCTGGGCCCTCTCATCCCAGCACCGCAACAGATCAGCTCATGTTCACGAGCATGCATAGACGCACACATGCATACTCCATGAGAACACCCCGTGGCTCCTAATAGGCCAATATAGAATAAAGGTTGTACTAAACACCGCACTTTGTAGCTCCCAGTTATAGTACAAGATAAGGTCAAGCGCTCATGCAGTACTACCTGTGCGTGCAAGAGATGTTGGAGAAAGCTGTGCCACTTGATTTGTGAGTGCATGTGGGTAGGCAGCGCGATGCCTTCAGGCGCTCGCTCTCACACACACTCGCCTGTCTCCGCCTGATTGGGCAAACAGCGTCAGGATGAGAGGATGTGTCTGCCGCAGAATTGTGTCGCAGCCGCCTACTGGCGTGGCCACAATTTTTCCTCGGCAGGTGGGTCCCAAAGGCAAGTACTTAGTGATCGGAGCAAAGCCCTGTGAGCGGCTACAAGGAGATTCGTGATCCCAACAGTGCTGGGGAGGACAGGTTCTCGGGGACGCGTCGTCAGGCGGGATGAGAGGCGAATTTATTTGGTGTTATTCTAAACCGAGGCAGCGGAGCGTGTGGCAGCAACATTTCTGCAGCGGGACGGTGAAGGTGTCATACTCATCAAGTACCTGGGCCTGCTTGCCTGCCGCGGCTCTGCGCCTTTTGCCTAGGGACTTGTCTGTCACATTAAAGTAGATGCATTGCCATTCAGGGCCTCGGCGTTCCCGCAGCCTGACCATGAAATAGGCCAACTTTCATGCCTGCCTCATCCCTCCACGTCTTCCCAATCCAGTGATGGCACAGTTTGAATTTTTTTTTCATCACTTTCTAGCCTAGCAGTTGCTGACTTAGACACAAACAGCACAGGAATCCCTTTGACAGATTTATGGAGAATTTTACTTGGCAATCTACCCCATCCACCACTGGTGGTTTTAACGTATACGTTGTGTCTAAATACATGGTCTTGAATTGTGTCACTTTAAAATGTAAAACAGATATATATCCACAGTGAAAAGGCAATGAATTAAAAATAATCCAGTTTATCATATTTGGTGTCCTGTCTCTACATAACTAGGCTTTAACCCGTGTTGGGAAGGTTACCTTCAAAATGGAACAGGTTACAGATTACTAGTTACCCTGTAATGTAACTACTTTAAGTACTTCATCAAAGGAATCTAAATTATTACTTTATCCACGCTATGATTACTTTTCTAAAACTGTTTTAAATTGGGAGATGAATGGCTGGATGGACTCTAGATGTAGAGACAGCTCCTTGTAAACCATCCGTCCACTTAGATTTGTCCCTGTGTCTTTTCTGACCCGCGTTGTCCAGAAACATACCAGTAAAAAAGCGTTTCTGTGAGGCGAAGAGATGCAAAGCAACGGAATGAAACGAGGTTATTCCAAGCGTTTTACCCCAAAGAACATATTCACGTATAACCACTTTGTAATCGCCACCATTTTGATGAGTAACTGTAATTTAATTACATGTTTTTTTTCTTGGTAACTGTAGCTGGCTGCAGTTAATAAATGTATTTTGTAACTTGATTACAGTAACTAGTTACTCACCAACACTGGCTGTAGCTATAACATTAGGTTGATAACATTAATGGTATTACTCTGGAAATTACTTTCTTTTTGTGGTTTAATTTATTTTGCTGATTTTCCCTGTATTGTGAAAATACTCTTACAAAATGTAGATTCTTTTATTTTTCTACAATTTTATTTGTCAGTATATAATACTGTACACACACACACACACAGCCTGCACTGACAGTGGTATTCCCTCAGTCCAGTTGTGTTCCCAAGTTACAACAACAGCCAACCAGACATGTGAAGTGTTTATTTCAGGCATTTTGGACAGAACTTCTCTGACCTTCAGCCGGAGCATATGCTGTGCTGGACAGAAGTGGCAGCCATATACCATGTGCCTTTCTACAGGGCAATGGCACTCGCCGCAGAGAAAGAGAGAGCTGTCCAGGTTGGAACTGTGACCAGACAGGCTCTAGTCACAACCAGCTGACAGGCCAGGCAGCCCCTCCCTCCCAGCTCAAACAGGCGCAGCAGCCCTGCGGCCAGCAGCCCTAACCACATTCACTTACATAGTGTCTCCATCACTGCTGGCCAGCCCAGCCAGGAACTGACACAGAGTTGGCTGGGAAAAAAAAAAACTTGAGTGTCAGCTGTATGATGGCTGAAAGGAACATCAGTCTCAGCAACTGGCCAGGCGCTGCTATGTACATGTGTGTGTGCGCGTGCACATGTGTCTTGATATTCTAGCAGCATTTGAGCAGCGCCTACATCAACGTCTGGTCGTTCTACACAGACAGTGTCAGCTTGCCTCAGGGCAGCAGCCTCCACAGTGGTCATATGGACAACCAGATCCCTGTGGTAGAATTAGTGATAAAAAACACACATGGCCACTGAGTGACAGTCAGTGCACTGGATTCCTTTGGACAGACAGGGCTGCAAATAACACAGAGGCGCAGTTTCTCCCTTAGACTGCAACTGGTGGTCGGGCTCGTGCCAGGTTAAGTCATGGCCACCAGATGAACCCAGGTAAAAGATAGTTAGAGGCAGTCACAGGCTCCTAGGTGCTCAAAGAGCACTTTGGCCTGTTTTACACTGATGCAGTCATGTCAATGATTTTTTGTCTGCACTCAGAAGGCAAGTGACGCTACTGCATGTTCCACCTTTTATGCTATCTAACCTCTAATGTCTTTACACTGTCCCATCCAACTCTGTCTTCAGTGAATAGTTGAAGTAGAAGGAAGGAGCCTGTTTGACAACACAACATCTACAAGCATCAGCTAAACCGGTCCGCTTTACCCCGTAAGGTTATACAGCTATAAAGAACATCCATCTATTATGTTTCCATGTCCTTTCTAGTGTGGCCAGAAATGGACTAATATGCACACCGTTCCCCAGGAGGATGCTCTGTTCCCACAGGAGATGGAGGGGAGGGAGTGTGTGTGAAGGTGGAAGTGTGCAGTTGGAGCTGTTCTGGAGGCAGGGAGGGGAGACAGGCAGCAGTTGGTGTGCAGAGAGCAGAGGCTCAGGCTGGCTAGTTAAGAGCTTCTCTCTCCTATCCTCCATCTGCCAGGGACTGAGGTTGTGATTTGAGCTCCAGAGTGGGGGGTGGGGGGGTGAGAGAGAAATAAATATGGAAATGAAAAACCTTAAATGTTGATTAAGTTTGCCTGAAAAATCTATTGATATGCTTATTCTTATCTATTCTTTAATCAGTATTGGTCATTTTTAATTTGGCAGTTAGAAACTGGCTATATTTCATCCATGCTTATGCATTTTGATATTTCCCTTTCTCCGGTAATTATCAAGCCATGTCCGCTCTGTTTGTAAATCCTTCTAGGACATCTCACCATCCTCTCAACCAGCCACCCTCCCTGGCTCATGTGACTGTGATATGCTTTACAGTGCTTCACTCCTCCCTCTGTTTCTGCTCCCTCTCTCCCTTCCCTCCTCACTCCTCTCCTTCATTCTGACAGTGTTTAGCCTGTGGTTCCCTGCACCACAGAGGATCCAGCCTCCTCCTCCTCATCCTTTGCTTCTTTTCAACTCCTCACCTCCACCTCTCCTCCGCTCCTTTTCTGGTCATGCTTTGGGGGTGACTAAGAGCTCCCTCGGCGAAATTGAGTGTCACTTGAGGTGACCCAGAAATGATAACTCCAGATGAACCCTGGATGTGTGGTAATCTAACCACCATGCCCTGCAGCAGAGAGGAGCCAGGCAGGCATCTCTGTCTGTGGTTTCACCATGGAGCCATGCACACTGCAGGCCCCATCTGGGTGTCGGGCTTGGAGAATGCTGCGTGTGTGGTATGTGTTGTGGTACACAGTAAAATGGATCTCAGCGCTGTTGCATTATTGATGAGAAACATTGTGATGTCAACCCGGGCAGAAGGAGCAAAGCAAAATGACTGTTAGCAGTATGGCACATGATCATTTATGCAAACGCTACAGAAATGTCATTAATTGTCTCCCTTTGCTCCCAGCTTCAGTACCCACCATATCCTATTCACTTGTTGTCAATTGAAATGAGTCCGTTTACACCCCAGTGTGGTGTTCTCCAAGCGGCCAGAGTGGGATTAGGGCATCCTGTTTTCTGGAGGACTCCCCTTTGTCAAGCTTCCAGTATATATACAGTTCAGGTGGAGGCACCATGCACTTTAACCAGCAGTGGAATTATTATTTAATGACTTGTTGTCACATTGTTCATCCTCTCAGGTGTATAACCATCCAGTAAATAATGACAGTAGCCTATAATTAGTGCACCAATACAATGAAAACTAATATTAATATTGTGGCCATTTGTGTAGCACTTTAAGAAAGCGTAGTCTCATTAGGTTAAACCTCCTCCAATTTGACCAAAGCCTTGAAATTATTAAACAGCGGTGAATTCTTCATCAACATTTCTTTATTCATTAGATGAAGCAACATGAGGCAAAATCTGTTTAGAATTGTTCCTGGCTACATAAGAAGGAAATGATTTCAATATTGTAGCCATGGAGGATCTTAACTAATGAAAAAAGTGGTTCAGGGAGGTAAAGGGTTCTTGTGAATTATTCTTAAATGTATTATAATATTAATTGTTTGCCACCACAATAAAGGCGTTATGTTATTCTCTCTTATTTAGCTCCAAGTCCACTGGATCAAAATATTCAACATATAGTGAGCATTTTATATAGAAAATGATTTCGATTTGATATTGTTATTCAGTTCCACATCCTTTCTCCTCAGGCTTGTGCTGTGCTGCATAGCTTCTTCAGATTGAGTGAACTATAGTTTGACTATAGACCACTCTAGTTACTCAGGGACCTCTGCACCCCAGCCAGTGAAATTAGAGCTGACCGAATTCATTTGACTTGAAGTTCCTAAGCTACAGTGTGGACCCATCCTTAAGGGATGCTATTTGTGATTGAACCCACCTATAATTTTGATTGCAAAATGCAGGTTACTCGTCTTTTATAGCTAAAAAAAAAACCCTAAAATGTTAGGAACTGAATTCTTAATCTGTTGTAATAACATGCCTAATATTCATGAGATAAATCCAGTTGAATATAATGGTATTTTTGCCACTGGGCCACCACCGACTGCAGACTTTATCCTTCTTGAATTCACAACTACATCACACATTATATCCTACATTCTGAAGAGGCCATTGGCTTGTGGGTTTGCATTTTTTTGTGCGTGCGCGCGCTGCGGTGTGCTCGGGACTGCCATATGGAAGAAGAATATTTAAATGTCTTGTGTTTTAACTGACGCTCGAACTAGATCTGTAAGCTGAGAAACGAGGAACAGCCCCCATCTACCGGCAGAGACTCCTCTTTCTCCTCTGCGCACTGCGCTCAGTCCGGAGCTCCTCACGCAGCACAAGCATCTCACACAGGAGAGTCTCAGGTAGGACGCTTTCTGTTTTCTGGCGGATGTAATGATGGTAATGATAACACAGGCTTGGCTTTCCAGCAAAAAGCGCCACGGCGAAGAGCGTGTGAAGCAATGCGCGACCGATCGGATGCGTGTTAAAATACAGTGGCACGTATTTCTCCTATAGGTGTAATATTCTCCTGGACAGACAGAGACGTGCACGCTAAACCCAGTCGACCTTCATATTGACGGAATATTCTGAACAAATCTTCTTAGCACAATAATAATCCTGCTTATTTAAATATATAGCAGAGGAGTTTGTCTTAAAATGGTGGAATAATGTAGAATGACGCTTTTCTTAAATGAGTTGCTCATTGTTGAATCATGAATGTTGTTGAATCATATTTAGATGATAAAAGTCAGTGTCCACCAGGCCGTCCGGGCTCACACGCCATTTTAAACATGGTTGTTAACACTGCTTTTATTTATTATTATTTTTTCTTTCTCTGTTTTGTCATGTATTAAATAAAGCAAACACCAATGAGCAGTCATTTTTATTTGCTTTTAGATCCTTGATTTAGTGAAACAAGATCACGGCTCTTAAATTAGGACAAATCATGACCAGAAACTAAATGAAAAATGACACAGAACCGCCCAGATTCATTTTCTTCAATTTACACAAAGCAGGTAATGAAATATGACAGGTACCATACATCACTAGATTGCGTATTGAATTGGATATATTTACCAAAATCCAAATATTATTTCCTAATCAAGTAAACACTGTCACTTTTTTTTGTAAAAGCTTTCATGTGTGGGCTTAGTTCCGATTTCCCACTAATGTGACACTAAGAATAAAAAATCGGGTCATTATTTATTTTTGTTTGCAGGTAATATCCTAATTAGGTACCAAAAAAAAAGGAAACAAAACAAAACGACAACACAAAAGGCGTGATTCCCTCAGCCCCTTGGTGTTCACTGACACATTGTTAAACCCTCTTCAATCACTTCAAATGTCACTGCTGGAGGCAACGGGTCAAAACCGTGTTCTTTATCGACATTAACAGTGTGATAGATGTCTTCCTAAAGAGACATGGGAACATGTATGTATTCTAATTGTACACAGCTATGTGAGCAAGTCCAGTTTTGAAATCATTAGGCGCCTTTATTTAATATCCGGAGAAGAAACAGAAGTAAATAAAACACACACACACACACACACACACATCACACAGCAGTTAGATTAAATATCACACAGAGCTGAGCTGATCATTCCTGTCAGGGTGTCTTTGTCCAGGTGAAATGAAATCCCTGTGTCCTTTCTGAGTCCCCCTTCGCCGCCCTGAAACACTGACAGAGCGCAAATGAAGGCTGTGCGTCTCAGAACAGCTGCAGGTCCAACCCGTCCAGGAGGGTTCAAGCCTCGGCTTATAGCGCTGCTATCAAGGGGCCTCCAATTAAAGCCAACACAACTTCATGGTGTGGGGGTGGGGGGGTGGAGTGTGAGGTGTGGGGAGGGGCTGCACATGATAATGTAACATGTCTTGAGATGAAGCATCCACACCTGCAACCCCCCTGAGCCTCTGTAAATCTATTAATGGGACCAGGGCCGAGGCGCAGATTCAGCCGGTGCAGCTATTGTTTTATGGCTAAACTTTAAATCATTGACCTCACGGAGATCGTAAAGGCTTGTGTCGTGTTTGTCAAAATACAGACCGTGAACTGCCTCATCTTGGCCTGTTGGCACCGTGTTCGGCCTGCGTGCTGAACGTGTCGTTTGGTCTCTCTTTTCATTTGCGTTGAATAGTTTTCACACTCTTTAAAACCGACACACATCTTTATTATCTTCTCAGTCTCCTGCACAGATGAAGCAATATGGTATTTCTTTTTAAACGTGAATTTCTGAAAATATGCGGTGACTTCCCTGTGGAGACCACCAACTGGAGGCCTTCTGCTTTTTAATGTCTTCTCACTGCTTGTTGCATATGACAAATGGAACATACAGTCGCAGCCCTGTTTCTCTTCTAATCACATCAGCTCTCCTCCGGGTTAACAAGCTTTTGGCCCAATTCAAGAGACAGAGAAAAGGCAGGGACTGTACGAAACCCCGACACTGAATAACTCTTATTTTAAATGATCGTTTAATGGAAGGAAGATGAATTGTGCACAGAAAAGGCCGTCTAGATTCACAGTATATAAAAAGGAAGTTTGCTTCGTTGCCAAGTCAAATCAAGTCTTATCTATATAGCATCACCACGAGTTGATGGGAAATTATTTTACTGGGGTAAATCGGTTGTCAGGGGGTAAGAGGGCTTTTATTTTCAAACAAAATTCATTTTTTTGTTTAAAAAATCTTATTCTTTTCCTATTAATCTGTCCCCGCCCTCTAGCCTATCACTGATCGCTGCCCCGCCCCAGACAATACATTTACACACACATACACACACACACTTATTTTGGGATAACCTAACACCTAATTAAAAGCTAATTAAACCCCTGAAACTGATAAAAATGACGTTTTAATGATGCGTAATAATGGAATTTCATAACAAGGTTCAGGCTCAGAATTCAACCTAATAACTCTCTTAAATAACATCATAGAAGAATTACTGGTTTATATTTCTGACACTAATACATCTCCAAACGGCACTGCAAATAAATACAATGCTTTCATTGGAATTAAAGTCCGTTTCGGTTTATGCAACTTCTGCCTACAGTCCAGCATCGTCCCCGTTAAATGGACGAATAAAAATAAAGAAAATGTCAGTACCATCACGGTGCTCCGCAGCCAGAATCGGGAGTTTTTCAGAGAGGAGTGACAGCTCTTTGTTGGTGAATAGAAATCAGTGGCGATGGCGAGAGAGAGAGAGAGACAGACACAGAGTGAGAGGAGAGAGAGGGGGGAACTCCTCCTACCAAATTATTCAGACTGGGCAGGCTTTGCTCTCTTCACAAATAGGACACGGTTCTCAAATCCAGGCAGTCCCAATCTGACCTCCAAGCACCAAGGAACCCCTGACTGGGATATCGGGAGAAAGAAATCACCAAAAAAGAAACAGCAAAAACTTTGTGTCATTATTTTTGGCGAGTGCTCACACTGTAGCCCCCTTACCCTCCTCCCTCCCCGCCACCGCCACCACTTCCACACCGGTTTCTCGCATCATTTGGACTATACATTTTTTTTCTGGAGAAGAGACATTCACGGGAAGAAGGAAAAAGCTGGTGCACAAACACCAGTCCTTCTGTCCCACCCATGTTGTAGTTTCTTCGCTTTTCCTTTCTTCCAGTTGCCTTCACACCCCGGCGAGGAGGTGATCTGAATCTCTGGGGTTGTGTTTTTGTTTTGTGTGCCTCTCAGAATCTCAGAGCCCAGTTGGATGCGCTGAGAGAGCAGGGCGCAGCGCTGCAGTACAGTATATGGAAGTTGTGGGCTGCAAGACAGAGGCAGGCAGTTGCACGTTGCGTCCAGGACCGGGAGCCATGCTTTTCCACGGGATCTCCGGGGATCACATCCAAGGGATCATGGAGGAGATGGAGAGAAGGTCGAAAACGGAGTCGCGCCTGGCGAAAGGCGTGCAGCTCAACGGGAGAGAGTCGGTAAGAACCAGGTCGAGCTGTGTTCCCTGTGTCTGAATTCAGGTTAAAAGTCGTTTCTATCCTGCGTAAACGACGACTGTGGCACCGTTAACGTGCAAAGTAATGTGCTGCTGGTTTGGGGGTAAGTAGGAGACTGCTCAGGAGGATTCCCGTTACCTCTTTGTGCTAAATTAGAATATATTTTAATTACAACCACATTTTTTTCTTCAAGAATAAATTTAATATGGCTAGTTTAAATTTTCCATTATTTTAGTAGCTGCTCAATTTACTGCAAAAATAAATAAAACACACACATTGGCTGCAACTTTACATGCAGTTGTCTCTAAAACGATGTGAAACACTTGTCATCAGATAAAACAGTAGCTTGCATTAAAGCTGTAGTAAGCTACTTTGTTATTTTGGTTGCTGCTTAGCCATTATAGTTGCAGTAATATTTTAATTAATGACATGAAAAACATGGCTATTTTACACAAGCTATTGCTGGTGGTATTATTTAAATGTATATTATTAGTAGTATTATACCTTAATTTGTGCTTCTTGCTTTCAACTTCTAAATGTTGATATTTTATCTGTTTGTAGCCAAAGCAGTGAATTTGTTGTTTGCTTTACATTTCGTGTTTACGAAGAGAGGAGGGAGTGAACTGATAAAACGTTAGGTTAGCAATACACGTCTTTCATTCTCCTCACTATTTAATGAATTTCACAGACCAAAGTGTTTCCTAGGTAGGGTTCATTCCTTCAGTGAGGCCTAGGAGAACATAAGGCGGTGTGTTTAAAGTGCTCCTCACGAGGTCTTGGTAGATTTTAAAAAGTTCAGTTCATAGTCAGAGCTGCCAAAGGCCCGATGTCACTGTTTTTGCATCATGTATATTGCACGACTTTCCTACCAGTCTCTTGAAGAAAGTCGTTTCCATGAGCTTTCCTCTGTCTCTCTGGCCCAGACCATGCCTTCTATGAGTCCGGAGAAGCCTGCTCTGTGTGCTGGCTGTGGCGGCAAGATTTCGGATAGATACTACCTCCTGGCCGTGGACAAACAGTGGCACCTGCGGTGCCTCAAATGCTGTGAATGTAAACTAGCGCTGGAGTCGGAGCTAACGTGTTTTGCCAAGGATGGGAGTATCTATTGTAAGGAGGATTACTACAGGTAAGAAAAATGAAGGCTAATCGTTTAGATAATTGTACCTTTTAGTCTAAGACTTTTTCTCTGTCACACTAACATGCACGCGTGTACACCCACTGCACCCACAGTGGCCCATGTGTGCTAAAGGCCCTTTCC